AAACCTTCCCCTTTTGAATAGTGAAGAGTCAAGTAATTACAGATGTCATTCACCCGGGAAACAGGAGTTCCTCTCAACCCTGAAACTGAAATTGAGAAGAAAACACTAGGTTAGATACTACATGAGGAATTTTTATCTCTTGTTCTTAATAATATAGGTATAAAGATGTCTAGAAAGGAAACCTAAATAATGGTGTTAGGATGGCTTCTCTCACATGGAACCATATGGAACCTGGGGAGTAAGAAACACAAAAAAATGTCATAGTAAATTGTGTCAACTCCTTGAATTAGAGGGTAGATAGCTCAGGTAGCAGGTGGAATAAGAGAATAAGAATAAGAGAATTTCAGCCATTAACCCAGTAGCTACACACATTTATAAGTCAAGTTGTACTTAAGCTTTGGGGGATATCAATTTCCATTTAATATTTTTCTTCTTTCTCACCATCTAATATCAAGCTGAGATAAGAATGAACCAAAGGAAGTTGATGGTAAGCAGGCATTCACCAAAGCATTAAGAGAGGCTCAATGCCCCTTTCAGAGCCACATGAGAGGAGCAGCCATAAAAGTGGGACAACCACACGGGAAAGGTGAACTTGGGATTATAGAGTCGTGTCTGTTAAGTTAGACTCCCCTTCCCACTGGGTGATCTCTTCAAGACATAAGTCTTCATACATCTGGGTTTTTTGCTTGTTTGATTTTTAGACAACTAGAGATACATACATACATACACATAGAGACATAAATTGTGTGATTGAGTTGACCGAGCACTTTCCAGTCTCAGAACTTATTATAAGGATTCATAAAAAAATACATATATATGTGAAATTTAATCACTGAAGCATTATATTGTACAAACCTAATGAGGAGATAATATATTAAATAAATTAAAATATTTATATGCAAGGAAACAGTATGCAGCTGTTCAAAGTATGGTGCAGAGAAATAGTATGACACGGAAAATCGTTCTTTATATGTTTCTAAATGAAAGAAATAAATAAACTAGCAGCACTGATATTTTTTTTAATTCATGATACATATGAAAATAGATGTACAGTAAAAAGGTATAACTGAATATACAAATCATTAACAATGATCATCTCTGATTGTATGTTTGAGGGTATTACTTCTTTAGTATTTTAAATAGAGTTGCATAATGTTTTTCTAAGAAGATTTTGAAACTCGATGTCAAAAGTTCATGCAAGGTAGATACCACCTTATTCACACAATGAACCACACTCTTAAAACTTTAATCTCTAAATTTCAAATTCAAGAGTCTGTAATTTTCTAAATATCAATAAGAGCAAGAAAATCATATAAAATTGATAATAAGATGCTAGTTACAAACATATATTTTGCCTAAAAATAAACTACTGAATAAGATCAAGACCATTTTCTTCAATGCTAATGTTAATTTAGTGAAATAGATTTGACTCCATGAGGGAAGTCAGTTAAGAATATTAGATTTTCAGAAGTAATTACAAGACTCTGCTATCCCCTAAAACAATTTGTATACCTTCCCAAAGTATGTGCTTGTTCTTTTCGATGAGGACATTAGAAATTTGGCAAAAATCATGATAAAAATATAAACTATTAAAATTCAGATATTAGTTTATATGATTCTTCACTATGATTCTTCATTAAAAGGAATAAGACCTTTTTGGAGAAATGGCTGTGTCCATGGCTGAAGTGGGGAATGTACAAGAAGAGCTTGAAACATCTTATCGTATCGGAAGTAAGGAAGAGCTCAAAAATTATGAGACAATGTTAATAGAACAAAGGAGCAAGCTTGGAGGGTTCATATATAGGACGATTAAGCATGTAATGATAATGAATAATTTTAATACTTTGATAAAATAATTTATGGGTCCGTATGATAGACAGATGGGAGAGAGAGAAAGATAATAGATACAGATGCATACAGATAGATGATAGATAGATAGATAGATAGGTAGATAGATAGATAGATAGATAGATAGATAGATAGATAGATAGATAGATAGATAAAGCCTTTCCGGATACTGAAATTGACAACCAATAAAAGCAAGGAAGGAGGTAGAGCACCACATTTTGCAATAATCATTACCAATAATGGAGTAAGACCGTGTAACTGATGGATGCTGAAATAGTGGCCAAAAGCTTTATGAGGAACAGAATCTTTGTATATTAATTTTAATGGATGCTCCAGAAATTACATTAGGGAAAAATATAATGATTTTATAATGGAGATGCTTGGGAGACACCATCTTTACCAAGTGATCCAAGTTAGCATCACGAGTAATGGGAAAATTAACATCATGCACCTACTCATGGAATACACTGAGAAGGATACTTGTTTTTCCTGCAGAAAGTGAAGAATCTGAATGAAAAATGAGGAACTTCGTACAATCCCAATCTGAGGAACATTCCACTAAAGAATTACTCTATACTCTTCAAAAATATCAGTGTCACAAGCGGCAAAGAAAGGCTGGGTAACTATTCCAGATGAAAGGAGACTACAGATAGACAACATTAAATATAATATGTAATCTTGGATTGGGTCCTGGGTGGAGGTGGGATTAGAGAGAGAATAATATAGATTAAAGAATCATGTCAGTATTAAGTGCTTGATTTTGATAATTATATTGTGGTTATGTTAGTGAATGTCTTTGTTCTTGGTGAAAAAACGAGGAATTTAGGGGTAAATGGGCATCATTATCTACGTTTCAATCTCAAATGGTACCAAAAAAAAAATAATACTATATAGAGAGAAAAAGAGAATGATAAGGCAAATATGAAAGATATATTAAAATTTGCTGAATCTGGGTGAATGCGTATGGGAGTCCTTTGCACAATTCTTGACACTTTTCTGTAAGTTTAAATTTCTTTCATATTTAAACTAAAAACAGTAACCAATTTGGGGGAATAGAGGGAGCTGTAAAGTAGGGACAAGGGTACAACTTTCTCTGAGCTCAGTTTGAGATACACAACTCCAGGTTCTCTTGATTCTCCACCTCTAATCTTTTATCACATTTCAGTCCTTGAAAAACTTCATTAAGGAATGGGAAGCAACCAGTCATGGGTCACCGAATTCATCCTGGAGGGATTCCAGCTCAGTGCGGAGATGGAAGTGTTGCTCTTCTGGATCTTCTCCCTGCTCTACATCTTCAGTCTGTTGGCAAATGGCATGATCTTGGGACTCATCTGTCTGGACCCGAGTCTACACACACCCATGTACTCCTTCCTTTCACACCTGTCTGTCATTGACATGTCCTATGCTTCCAATAATGTGCCCAAAATGTTGGCAAACTTAGTGAAACAGAATAGAACCATATCTTTCGTTCCATGCATTATGCAGACTTTTTTGTATTTGGGTTTTTCTCACACAGAGTGCCTGATTTTGGTGGTGAAGTCCTATGACAGGTTTGTGGCGATCTGCCACCCCCTCCACTACACTGTCATCATGAACTGGAGAGTGTGCACAGTCCTGGCTGTCACTTCCTGGTCATGTGGATTTATTCTGGCTCTGGTGCATGCAATTCTCCTTCTCAGATTGCCCTTCTGTGGGCCCCGGGAAGTGAACCACCTCTTCTGTGAAATTCTGTCTGTCCTCAAGCTGGCCTGTGGTGACACTTGGATCAACCAAGTGGTTATCCTTGCTGCCTCTGTGTTTGTCTTAGTTGGACCCCTCTGCTTAATGCTCGTCTCCTACATGCGCATCCTCTGGGCCGTCCTAAAGATCCAGTCAAAGGACGGCCGCAGAAAGGCCTTCTCCACCTGCTCCTCCCACCTCTGTGTGTTTGGGCTCTTCTTTGGCATTGCCGTGGTGGTTTATATGGTCCCAGACTCCGATCAACAAGAAGAGCAGGAGAAAATACTGTCCCTATTTTACAGCTTCTTTAACCCAATGCTGAACCCTCTCATCTACAGCCTGAGGAATGCTCAGGTGAAGGGCGCCTTGTATAGAGCACTGCAGAAGAAGAGGTCCGTGTGAAGAGTAGATAGAATCTTGTTTGATGTGGGATTTTCTTTTGAAACATGTGATTTGCTGAAGCAAAAACTCGGAAAAATTTCCCAATTAGAAGTTTGATATAAAAATGGTAATTGCCAAAACTCTAGCTCTGAAAACAGGGCTAAGTTCTATGGAAAAGCATATGTTCTAAACTTTAGAGACCATGTTAGGAGTGGGACAGCTAAATTATCAGAATATTTAGTCTCTCTTTTAAGAAATATTGGATTCCATTTATTTTTTAAACCCATGAATATTAATGTATGAAGAAAAAATTAAATGTAAGAAAATTACGTCAATACATTTCTCTGGCTTCTGTATTTAGACTCTGTGAGTTCTTACCACCTTGTGGTAGCTGGAAACAGTACAGTAAAAGTAATACCATAAGAGAGAACTTCCAAAGTAGACCTGAAATTTTCATACAGAAAATATTGCAGAATTATATGACTCTACCTCACCAATTGCAAGGCCAATGATATAAGAGTTTAGAGAAATTCTAAATTCCTTGATGGAATAGTATAGGCGTAAATGGAAAAAGTTAGGGAAAGCTTTAATCTAAAAATAAACTATATTAAAAATCTTAAAACATATCAAAGTTTTAGGATTGGGTCAAAATGCAATTGGTTAGTAAATGTTTAAATAGTTCTAGAGGTAGGGTTTAGAGCATTGCTCAAACATTACATTTATTTTTGGGTTGTAAAAATTTCAAATAAAGCAAGATTTAATCCTGTTGAAATTCTTAAAAAATTTCCCACCAATATTTTTGTAGTGTTTGAACCAACTTATCTGAAATGATTTAGGGTAGAAGCCGCATGAGACAACTAGGATATAACCAAAATGATTTCTCTTTCATGGTGGCAAAAGTTCCTCTGGATTTATGAAACCAGACTGAACAACTGTCTTCATGATGCTAATGAGGATAAAATAAGTAAGGGCTACTCTTTTTCTTTAATGATTCAATATTTGTATATATTGCAAAATGTTCATCACAATAAGTCTAGGTAACATCCGCCACCATGCGTAGTAAGAAAAATTTTTCTTGTGATGACAACTTTAAAGATCTAATCTTAGCAATTTCGAATCTACAGTAGAGTATTAACTATAGTCACCATGCTGTGCATACATGATTTATTTATTTTATAACTCTCAGTTTATACTTTTTGACTGCCTTCACCCATTTTGCTCACCCCCACACCCACCTCTGGCAATCATCAATTTGTTCTCTGTATCTATGAGCATTTTTTTTTAGATTCCACATATAAATGAGATAATATGATATTTTACTTATTTCATTTCACCTAATGCCCTCAAGGTCCATCAATGTTGTCACAAATGGCAAGATTTCCTTCTTTTTTATGGCTGAATAATATTCCATTATGTGGTGTGTGTGTGTGTGTGTGTGTGTGTGTGTACCACATTTTCTTTATCCATTCATCCTTCAATGGACACTTAGGTTGTTTCCATGTCTTGATTATTGTAAATAATGCTGCAATGAACAGGCAGATGCAGATATCTTTTTGACTTAGCATTTTCGTTTCTGTCAGATAAACACCCAGAAGTGGAATTGCTGGATCATATGGTAGTTCTATATTAAATTTTTTGAGGAATCTCCATACTGTTCTCCCGAGAGGCTGCACCAATTTACATTCCTACTAACAGTGCACAAGGGTTTCCTTTTCTCCACATTGTTTCCAACAGTTACTATTTCTTGTCATTTTTATAATAGCCATCCCAACAGGGTGAGGTGATATCTCATTGTTGTTCTGATTTGCATTTCCCTGAGGATTAGTGATTTTGAGCACCTTTTCATGTACGTATTGGTCATCTGTATATCTTCCTTTGAAAAGTGTCCATTCAGATCCTCTGCCCATTTTTTAATCAGATTGTTTGTTGGTTTGTTTTGCTACTGAGTTGTATGAGTTCTATATATATTTTAGATATGAACCCCTTATAAGATATATGATTTGCAGATATTTTCTCCCATTTGGTAGTTTGCCATTTCATTTTGTTGATGGTTTCCTTTGCTGTGAAGAACCTTTTTAGTTTTATATAAAAATGCATCATGATATTAATTATTCTCTATTTTTTGACAAGTCATGAAAACTTTACCTCGAGTTATAAAATTCTAGAATAAGTACAAAATTAAACATAATTAACTTTCATTTTAGTGATATATAGTACCCAAAGCATAAAATATACAGTATTTAACACTGTAAGCAAATATAGGTGTCGACAAAGACAAGTAACTAAAAAGGTGAAGCTATCTACCAGATCTTCTACCTGGATCACTCTAGTGGTTATCCTTACTGACAGTGTGTTTGTCTCAGTTGGGCCCCTTTCCCTGGTGCTGGTTTCCTACGTGCACATCCTCTGGGACATCCTGAAGATCCAGTCAAAGGATGACCACAGAAAAGCCTTTTCCACTTGCTCATCCCACCTCTGTGTGGTTGAGTCCTACTTTGGCATTGCCATGGTGGTTTACTTGGTCCCAGACAATAGTGAACAAGAGGAGCAGCAAAAAATCCTTTCCCTGTTTTACACCCTCTTCAACCCACTGCAGAACACCCCCATCTACAGTCTAAGGAACGTTCAAGTGAAGGCTGCCTTCAACAGGGCGTTGCAGAAAAAGAGGATGGGGTGGAGGGTAGAATATTGGTTCAGTGGATTTTTCCCCTTAAGAAATGTGATTTCTGATGAAATAAAACTCAAGGAAATTCCCCAAGAAGAGGCGTGATTTAAGGATGACAATGGTCCAAGAGTAATATCAGTCAGTTGGCAGAATAGGAATCCCCAGGCCCTTGTTCCTCTGTGAAGACAACAATATATAGACCAAATTGCCTTTGTGAGAACACCAGGAACCAGTTAAGAGGTTGAAGCACTCCAGACAAGCACAAACCCAAGGAGAGACCCAGTAAAACGAAGAAGCAAACATATGACATGTTACCTGCCCTAGCTACCTCCCCTCCCTGGCCCAGTGTGGCAGGATCAGGAGAAAATTCCCAACTCTTGGCTCTCCCTCAAGAGGGAAAGAGAAGAATGGACTATATGTACTATATTCCGACTTTCAGGAGATAGTCTGAGGGATTGTTTTCTGTCTTGTATGATTGAGAGTACGTGGCAGTTTGGACGGCATGTTGGGACTGCGGAGAAACAAGGCAAGCACTCCAGCTTTTTACAGCCCTAGAGAGAGTTCAGCATTTCAGACAGACAAACACTAGGGGGCGCAAGTGTTTACAGGCTCCAGAGAAGAAGCAGACAAACGTCTTTCGCTGGGAAAACACAGGAACCAGCTCAGAGAAGCTGCATCCCCAGAAAAGGTTGGAGAGCTCGTCGGCATCTCTAGCAGGGCTAATTGCTGAGGATCTTGCCCTTCATGAACTCAGTCGGTAACGACTGGGAGAGGTAGCTGTTTTTTCAAATACCCAAATCTCAACTAAAGTTCACAAAGCGACGAAGAAACAGGGAAAACATGAACCACTCAAAGGAACAAAATAAATCTCCAGAAACCACCCCTAAAGAAATGCAGATTTATGAATTCCTGACAAAGAATTCAATATAATCAACTTAAAAGATATTCATTGATCTAAAAGAGAGTGCAGACAACTAAAGAAATGAGGAAAACGATGCATGAACAAAACGAAAACATCACAAAGAGACAAAAAGTTATAAAAAAAGAAGAAAACAAATTCTGGAACTGAGGAATACAATAATTGAATGGAAAATATTCACTAGAGGGGCTCAAGAGCAGAAATTAGAAACTAGCTGGAGACAGATGAAAATAAAACACAAAATACCATAAATGAGATGCTGCCAAAGCAGTAAGAGGGCAGTTTACAACAGCAAACTCTTACATTAAAAAGAAGAGAGATCACGGATCAATAACCTCACTTTATACCTCAAAGGACTAGAAAAAGAAAAAAACCAAGCCCAAAGTTAGCAGAAGGAAAGAAATAATAAAGATTAGAGCATAGATAAGTGAAATAAAGAATAGAAAAACAACCAATCAATAGAAAAATATCAATGAAACTAAGATTGGTTTTCTGAAAAATTCAGCAATATTGCAAACCTTTAGACCAACAGAAAAAAGGGATACCTAGAAAAGTCAAATTCATAGAAACATAAAATTGCATAGTAATTACAAGGAACTGTAACTTCTTCCCTCCCCCAGGAAGAAGGAAGGGGGAGTTATTTATTGAGTACAGAGTTTCAGTTTCGGATGAAAATGTACTGGAGATGGATCCTGGTAATGGTTGTATACAATGTGAATGACCTAATGCCACTGAACTGTACATTTAAAAATTGTTAAAATTTTATGTATATTTTTCCACAATAAACTATTAAGGAAATGCTTTAGCTGATGACCATACAAAATGTAGTCTTTACTGATTATACCATCATAATGAGAGTTGCTCTATCTGGTTTCACAAGACCAGAACAGTTTAATAGAGAGAATACTGCAGAGCAATATGCTTCTACCTCACCAATTATCAGGACAGTGAAATAAATGATTAAGAAACTGTAAGTCCTGTTTGAAATAATTTCAGAGTAAACCATGAAAAGCTGTGCAACACTTTAATCCAATCAGAATAATACAAACAATTCTAAGACATATTTTAAATTATGATACAATAAAGTGAATGAACTCCATTTGAAAATGTTTAAATGACCCTGGAAGCTAGGGTCTTGAGAAATGATCCAAGTTTACATTTATTCCTAGATTATGATAATTGCCAATATGGTAAGTTTGGTTCACCTGTAGAGACTCTTGCATAAATTTTCCTACCAGTATTTTTAATGTTTGAACCAATTTATCTTAAAATGGTTTGGGGTGACACCAAAAGATGTGAAATAGCTTTGAAATAACCAACATCATTTATCTTTCATGGTGGCAAAAAGACTTCTGGATTTGTGAAACAAAAATGAGCAATACTCATTATGCTAATGTTAGTAAAATTAGTAAAGTCTGCTTTTCTGTAGTTGTCAGCTCAAGCATTTCCTCTGGTTTTGAAAGTATTCTCATAATTATGGACTTTCGTCTGAGTAACAGATTTAACTTGATGTTCAATTGCATCAGATAAGTCATTAATGTCCTTTCTTTAAATTAATGGTCTTTATTTTTAGTGCAGTTTTAGGTTTACAGAAAAAATGAACGCTAAATTCAGAGTTCCATATACTCCCTCATCCCTCCCCACATAGTTTCTCCTATTATTAATGTCTTGCATTATGTGCAGTGCATTTGTTACAGTTGAGCCAATATCGATACATTTTTATTAACTACAGTACATAGTTTATAGTAGAGTTCACTCTTTGTGTTGTACATGCCATGAGTTTTAACAAATAGATAATGACATGTATCCACCATTATAGGATCATACAGAATAGTTTCCTTGCCCTGCAGATCTGCTGTGTTCCGTCTATTCATCCCTCCCTCTATCCCCCCAAACCCCTGGCAACCACTGATCATTTTAATATCTCCATAGTTTTGCCTTTCACAGAATTTCGTATAGTTGAAATCATACAGTATGTAATGATTTCAGATTTGCTTCTTTCACATAGCAATATGCATTTGAGCTTTCTCCATTTTTTTTTCTTATGGCTTAATAGGTCATTTGTTTTTATTGCTGAATAATATTTCGTTGTATAGATGTACCACAATTTGCTTATCCATTCATCTATTGAAGGACATCTTTGTTACTTTCAAGTTTTGATAATTATGAGTAAAGCTGCTATAAATATTTGTGTGCAGGTTCTTGTGTGGACATAAGTTTTCAGCTCCTTTGTATGAATACTAAGGAGCATGATTTGCTGGATCATACGGTAAGAGTATGTTTTGTAAGAAATCTCCCAAATTTTCCCAAAAATCTCCATTATTTTCCAAAGTGGCTGTACCATTTTGCATTCCCACCAGCAATTAATGAGGTCCTGTTGCTCCACATTCTTGCTAGTATTTGATATTTTCAATGTTTTGGATTTTCACCATTCTATCAGATGTGCAGTGGTATCTCATTCTTGTTTTAATATGAAATTCCCTGACAGCTGATGTTGAGCATCTTTGCAGGTTCTTCCTTGCCATTTGTATATCTTCTTTGGTGAGGTATCTCTTCATATCTTTTGCCCATTTTTATTTAATAAACTTTATTTTTCTAGTGATTTTAGATTCACGGTAAAATTGAGTGGAAGGTACAGAGGTACCCTTTATTACCCTCTGCCTTCACACATACATAACCTCTCCCATTATCAACATCCCCACCAGAGTGATACATTTGTTACAATTGATGAACCTACTTTGGCACGTCATTATCACCCAAAGTCCATAGTTTACATTAGGGTTCACTCACAGTGTTGTACATTCTATGTGTTTGGACAAGCGTATAATTATGTGCATCCACAATTATAGTATCAGAGTAGTTTCACTGCCCTAAAAATCATCTGTGTTCTACCCATTCATTCCTCCCTCTCCGCTAAAACCTGGCAACCACTGATCTTTTCACTGCCTCTATAGTTTTGCCTTTTCAGAATGTTATATAGTTGGAATCATATACTAAGTAGTCTAAGCCCAGATTGGCTTCTTTCACTTAGCAATATGCATGTAAGTTTTCTTCTATTGTCTTCTTCTTTTCATTGTTGAATAGCTTATTTCTTTTTAGTGCAGAATGCTACTCCATTGTCTGGATGTACACAGTTTATTTGTCCATTCACCTCGAGGGACAATTCAGTTGCTTTCAAGGTTTGACATTATTAATAAAGCTGCTGTAAACATTTGTGTGGAGCTTTCTGTGTGGACATAAGTTTTCAAATCCTTTGAGTCAACACCAAGTAGGGCAATTGGTAAATCTTAGTGAGAGTATGTTTAGTTTTATAAGAAACTGTCGAGCTGCCTTCCAAAGTGGCTGTACCATTTTCATTCCCTCCAGCAATGAATGCAAATGCCTCCACATCGTAACCAACGTCTGGTGTTGTCAATGTTCTGGATTTAAGCTGTGCTACTGGGTGTGTAGTGGTATCTTGTTGTTTTAATTTGCATTTCCCTGATGACATAAGATGTGGAGCATCTTTTCATACACTTATTGGCCATCCATATATTTTCTTTGGAGAGGTGTCTGTTAGAGTCTTTCACCCATTTTTTAATTGGGTTGTTCATTTTCTTATTGTTGAGTTTTAAGAGTTCTTTTTATGTTTTGGAATCAAGTTATTTTTTCTATATATGTAAAGATTTTCTCACAGTGTGTGGCTTGACTTTCATATTCTTAATCGTCTCTTTCACAAAGCACAAGTTTTTAATTATAATGAAGTACAACTTATTAATTTCTTTTTTAATGATAAAGAGTTGTTGATTTTCAGTTCAGATTTTTTCTCATGGGAAGACAGGAGTGATGACTTCCAAGCTCTTTATATGCTCAAATAAATGATAGAAATCACCAATTTCTCTTTGAATTTTTATTGGGGTGCCCGCAGAAGTTAGAAATTGATTTATTTCATCACATACTGAAAATAAAGCATGATCAATCATGTATTACTTTCTTATTACTTTTGAAACATATTACCACAAACTTAGTGGCTTAGAATGACACAAATGTATCATCCTATAATTCTAGAGATCAGAAGTCTAAAATGGGTCAGCAGGGTTGTGTTATTTC